AACACTGTGGCATAGCTGGTAAAGCCGCTGCCTGCAGTGCTGGCATCCCATTAGGGCGCCATTTAAAAACCCAGTCACCCAAATTCCAATCCAGCTCTCTGCTATGGCCTGGGAAAGCAGTAGAGGATGGCCCAAGTTCTTGGGTCCCTGCACCCATGTGGAAGACCCAGAAGAAGCTCCCGGCTCCTGGCTTCAGATCATCCCAGCTCTGGCTGTTGCTGCCATTTGAGGAGTGGACCAGTGTATAGAGAACCTCTCTCTCTCTCTCTCTCTGCCTCTGCCTCTGTCTCTCTACCTTTCAAATAAATAAATAAATCTTAAAAAAAAAAAAAAAAAGGCAGCATAGTCTAGGGGCAGGCATTTGGTGCAGTGATGAAGTTACTGCTTGGGAAGCCTGCATTCCATATCAGAGTGCCTGGTTCATGTCCTGGATCTTCTGCTTTTGTTTTTTTTTTTTTTTTTGTTTTTTTTTGACAGGCAGAGTGGACAGTGAGAGAGACAGAGAGAAAGGTCTTCCTTTGCCATTGGTTCACCCTCCAATGGCCGGCGCATTGCACTGATCCGAAGCCAGGAGCCAGGTGCTTTTTCCTGGTCTCCCATGTGGGTGCAGGGCCCAAGGACTTGGGCCATCCTCCACTGCACTCCCGGGCCACAGCAGAGAGCTGGCCTGGAAGAGGGGCAACCAGGACAGAATCCAGCGCCCCGACCGGGACTAGAACCCGGTGTGCCGGCGCCGCAAGGCAGAGGATTAGCCTATTGAGCCATGGCGCCGGCTCTCTTCTGCTTCTGATCCAGCTTCCTGCTGATGTGCACCCTGGGAGGCAGCAGATGATGGCTCAAGTCTTTGGGCACTGTCACTATGCAGGAAACCTACAAAGAGCTCCTGGCTCCTGCCTCTGGCCTGGGCCAGCCCCAGTTGTTGTAGGCACTAGGAAATGAACTAATAGATGGGAGCTTTCTCTGGCTCTTTCCCTTTTAAAATAAATAAAAATAAGAAAACCAAACAAAATAAAAGCCCTAGAGAAGCAAGTGATTACTTTTAAGACTTACAACTATGTTTGGTGAGTGTTGAGTGGAACAGAAGGAAGGAGGGCAAAGGAAGAAAAAGAAAGTAAGGAAATACGACTTGCATACTGTTTATAGATATAATGGCTTCAGCTCTTATTTCTGAGACGAAACAGAGTCAAACAGTAACAACTAAACATAAACAGAAAGAGATTTTAGCTGAGTATCAAGAACTGTTTGCTAGCTCCCTTTAGCTAGAATAGATTATTATGTTATTTTCCTTAAGTGAAAGCAAGGTACAAATCAAATGAGATTACATATATGAAAAGAACTCTGAATGTAACAAAATTACATTAAGCCAAGCTAAATTTTGGCAGTACTACATTTAATAAGTTTTAAAATATGCATACCTTTGGTCCAGAATTTCCATTTCTGGGCATGTATTCTATAAAGATTCTCAAACATTTGCATAAGATGCAATAAGTAAGAATGTTCAATGAAGCTTTGCAATAGTAAAAACTTGGAAACAACCCCAATTTCTATCAATAGCAGGATAGTTAAATAAATTATGGTACATTCTATGACTATATAGTGGTTAAAGCAATGAGATAGATCTGTGTGTATTAATACAGGAAGGTCTTCAAAACATAGAGACTTAAAAAAAATCTAAGTCAAATAGCTAGGTATACTTTGTCACAATTCTATACATGAAAACACTAATAAAAACAAAACCACTGCCACTTAGTTGTGTATGTTTCCACTTATGTATCTAAATGCACAGAAGAAGTCTAAAAGCATACACACTGAATCATTAACTGTGGAGATACACCAGAAACCAAGAAAGGGAGAAAGAAGGGGTTGATGTGAAGGGGACGTTTTCTTTTTGCTCTATAAACTTAACATTGTTTGGTTTTATTTTTACTAGAATGAACTAATATATTACACTAACAATAACAAAAACAACAATATACGGCATTCATAACTGGTAACTTGATTTCACCTTCTCTAATGCATCTCCACCACTAGCCCACCCTCAAAGCCCTTTTCCCCTGCATCAGCTTGTACTGTTATGTTTGGACCTTAGTCAGGAACTAAATTATTTTGTCCTCTCACCGTATCCCATATTTGCAGTTTGATTTGTTTTCCATCAATGTTGACCATACGGGCTCCAAACTCCACACCTGTCAGTGAAGACCAAGAGAAAGAAAGTGATTCTCATGAACAGTGATATTGAATGAGAGGCTCATGCTTTTCGTCAGTATATTATAACCCATGCTTTGGCTGCACTCAGTGCCACTGAGACCATTACTGCTGCCTACCTACTCCAATTAATTTTGAAGCTTCTTGGAGCCAGCCTTGTGGTGCAGCAGGTTAAGCTGCTATTGGTGATACTGGCATCTCATATCAGAGTGCAGAGTGCAGAGTGCTGGTTTGAGTCCCAGCTGCTCCGCTTCCAATTCAGCTTCCTGCTAATACATCTTGGAAGGCAGCAGATGGTAACTTTAATGTGTGAACCCCTGCCACCCATATGAGACCCAGATGGAGTTCCAGGTTCCTGGATTCAGCCTGGAATGGAATGTTGTAGGCATCTAGGGAGTGAACCAGTAGGTGGAAGATAGTCTCTGTCATTCAAGTAGATGAACATAAACTTAAAAAAATTTTAAATGCTTTATTTTTTAGTGCTGTCCACATCAAATTTCATGCTCCTTTAAATTCCTTTTAGTTTTCCAAAAGTAGCCCAATCTCTGCCATCCCTGAGCCTTTGCACATATTATTATCTCTTGCCCAGATTATTTTTCCATCATTTCTCTACATCCCCTTACCTGGCTAACTCCTCATTCCTCAATTTTCAGCCTTTCTGAGAGAGGTGGTAGGTTCTCCTCCCTTTTGCAATAGGAATTTACTTGACAGTGCTACCCCACCCTTACACCTCCATCATTGAAAGGCTCTCAGCTACTCAGCTGCCTCCTTAAGCAGCTGCTAGCTGATCTCACAGCATAAATGTTCATTTAATATTCATTAAATACAATTTGCTGGTTGATGCTATCCTCTAAATCCCTGTCTAAAATCATTCAACTCTCTAGAGCTGAATAAACCCAGATTTCCATACAGGTGGGACTTGGAAGCAGCAATATGGTTAAGAATGGCGAGCTATCAGTTTTATTTAGAAAGTGCATTTTAGGGCCAGCATGGTAAGTACAAGGTGGTTAAGCTGCTGCTTGCAATGCCAGCACCCTATGTAAGTACTGGTTGGAGTCTCAGCTGCTCCGCTTCCCATCCAGCTTCCTGCTAATGTGTCTGAGAAAGTAGTGGAAGATGGTCCAAGTACCTGGGCCCTTGCTACCCACATGGGAGACCAGGAAGTAGCTCCTGGGCCCTGGCATTTGAGAGTGAACCAACAGATGGAAGATTTCTTTGTCTCTTCCTCTCTCTAACTCTGCCTTTCAAATAAATAAACCTTAAAAAAACTGCATTTGTGTGGCAACTACACACACACACACACATATATATATATACTGTATGTAGCTTATACATATTATATATGTTACTATGTATATTATTTACTATATATTTTATTTGGGTGAGGGTTATGTAAATCAGAAGGAAGGGTCTGTTAAAGTGCCTTCAGACCATAACTTGCCACAAACTGCCTTTTATTTCTTTTTAGAGAGTGATCGCCCATCCACTGGTTCACTCCCAAAATGGCATTAACAGCCAAAGCTGGGCCAGGCTGAACCAGGAGCCTAGAACCCCGTCCGGGTCTCCAGAGAAAGTGGCAGGGGCATAAGTACATGGGCCATCCTGCGGGGCTTTCCCAGGCCCATTAGCAGGGAGCTGGATCGGAAGTAAAGCAGCTGGGACGTAAACCATTGCCCCTATGGGAAGCCAGCGTCACAGGTGGCGGCTTAGCCCACTGCGCAACAACGCCCATCATCTGCCTTTTAATTGTTAGGCTGGGATGGCTCTTCGCTTCGCTTGGTCCTCTCCACCACACACACACACACACACACACAATCCAAGTACTGGTGTTGACTCTGAAACACACAGTATGAGGCTGGCACTCATATATCGCAAATCTGAGATGCGCTTTTGAATAACGCTGCTCGGCTTCCGCTGGATTTCCCATAAACATTTACACCCTATGGGAATCGGTCCGTACCTCGCACATCTCTGGACTTCCCTTCACAATTATTTATTCCTCTTTACACCACTCTTCACTGAACCTAACTTCGCACTAGTTTTAAGCGGTGAGAGGCAACTTTTGACTTGAGGACACGGAAGACAGCTGAGCTTTCCACCTGGGCAGTTCAGCGAGCCAAGGCTTTATGATCGGTTCTGGAACAAACAGCTGCACTTACCTATTGTGAGGTCGTGGACTGGCTGGAACCGCTTGTCTGTAAACTGCAGGAGGAGACATGACTTCCCCACACCTGAAAGGGGAGGACGTGCGTGCCAGGAGCCCCGCGGCCCAGAAACACCTCCCGGAGTCCGGGCGTCAGGGACGCGGGAAGGGGCGCCCCGAGCCCGAGCCCCGCCCCCGGCCGCCCCGCCCCGCCCCCGCCCGTTCCTCGCGAATCGCCCAACCCACTGAGCGAGCCCCGCCCCCGCGGCCCGATTTGGGAGCTTCGGGTGCCCGCCTCAGCCTTCGAAGGCGGCCCGCTCGCGGATTACCTGTGTCCCCGATGATGATGTACTTGAAGAGATAAGCATAAGTCATGGTCCCGATTCCTCCGGATTCCGGGTCCGCCCGACTTCTACATCCACTTGCCTCCGACCTCTCTAGCCACTCAGTCTAGCGATCTCCTTGTTTTTCCCTCTCCGGCCCCTCTAGCCAGATCACGTCTCTACTGCTCTCCCCAGAAATCCACAGCCGGACCGATGCAGTCAACGCCGCCTCCAGGGACGCCTCTAGCACCTCTACATGCCATTATCCCACCACGCTCCAGGGGGCGATATCTACCTTTTCCATCTGCTCGGCGCCTGACTCGCAGCCCCACGACGCTCCTTCCAGTCAGCGGAGAGCGACGCACTTCCTTGCGGAAGTGACGGCAGTTCCGAGGCCAGTGGGGGCGGTGGGAGCAATGAGGGGTCTGAGACGGTGGTAGAAAAGTGGTGTGAAGATGGAGGTAGGAGCCCGGGCGCTAAGAAGGCTTGGCGAGAGAGCGCCGCCGATCGGGTTGCAGCAGAGGCGGGAAGGGAGAGGCGGCTGACGGGAGAGGAGAGACAGCCGGGATTGGGGAGTGCTGTCAGAATGTCGGGATCGGAATCCGGGGCTCCAAGCGAAGTCCGTGCTCCCCCTAACTTATCACCGCGGCTTTCTTTTGGTTTCCAGTTTCCCGGAGGAAATGACAATTACCTGACGATCACAGGACCCTCGCACCCCTTCCTGTCAGGCGCCGAGGTGAGCAAGAGCCGCCGACGCTGCGGGAGGGGTGGGCCTGCGGCGGTGGGGCGGTGGGGAAGGGCGTGCGGACGCTGGGAGACCCCGGCTGGGACCCGGGGGGCGCGGTTGGTGTTCGGGGGGAAGTGGCAGCTGCTTCTAGAGCCTATCAGGACTGCCCGGGGAAGTCCTGGGGAAGCTGCTGTCACCAGAAAACCAGGGCGCTGGAAAGCGAGAACCGGCTTAAGGAGGAGAGTGAGTCCGGGTGGGGAGATGGGGGGGGGCTGTCTCCTTTTTGTGGGAGAAATACCCACGACGATCCTGGGGGATCACAATGGGAAGCAGAATTTTCAGCAGCTAACGAAGTCGGGTGAGGGGAGAAGCTCACCTAGCAGGGACTTAGCCAGGGGCCTGTGTTCACGAGCTGTGCTGAAGGGTGCGGTGGCGTTTTTGTTATTTAACTTTTCTACTGTGATAAAAAGTTAGTTACTTTTACCAACAAGGTATCAGCTTGCTTTGCTAGAGAACTTGTGCGTGCACGCGCGCGCGCCCCTGAGGACATTGTGCATTACTTCACCTGGGTATGTCACAGTTTCCTCAGCTGTCCCATAGCTGTAATAATAGTTTCTTATGATGTTGTAAAGTAAAAGTAATGCTTCTGGTGAGGTCCTAAAGGGTTGGTGAAAACGTTTGGGTTGAAATATTGCCATACTGTAGATATGTATCAGTTGCTTAGGCCAGACCAAAAAAAAAAAAGGGTCGGGGGCGAGAACGAAAAAAAACTTCCCAGACTTTGAGGGGGAACTATGAAGCAAACCTTCTACCATCTTTTGAAGTTCTTAATTTTTTAATTTTTTTTTCAAAAGTGGTGTAGACTTTTTTTTTTTTTTGCTACTAAGAATTCTCAGTTGTTAAATGACTTTATCCTATAATAAATCCTGATATTTTCATGGATAAAAATTAGATTGGCCAGAGACAGTTGCTGACTCTTTAATTTCTTTGTTACTATTTTTACTATGCCAGGGGGACATGTAAATCAAATGTGCAATAGATATAAGAATGACAGAGTACTATCTGGTGCCTTTAAAGTTTTGGTACAAGTTTCCCATAAATGAGGGTCTCCTTGGTTTAATTTCATTATTTGGAGTCTTGTAAATCTCACATTAGCCTCAACTATATGAGTGTATTATTGCCAATCTCTTCTCAATCAGGTCTCCACAGTTTAAATTTGTTGTAAAGGTCACATTAGCTTCATTCATGAGAAAGCAGATGGTAAAATTAAATACAAATAGTTTTTTCTTTTTTAAAGATTTATTTATCTTTATTTGAAAGTCAGAGTTACAGAGAGAGGAGAGGCACAGAGACAGGTCTTCCATCCAATGGTTCATTCCCCAGATGGCCGCAATGGCCAGAGATGCACCGATCTGAAGCCAGGAGCCAAGAACTTCTGGGTCTCCCACACGGGTGGAGGAGCCCAAGGACTTGGGCCATCTTCTACTGCTTCCCCAGGCCATAGCAGAGAGCTGGATTGGAAGAAGAGCAGCTGGGACTAGAACCGGCACCCATATGGGATGCCTGTGCCTCAGGCCAGGGTGTTAAATGTATTGATTGTGCTTTATCCTTTAATCCTTTTATGAAGTTGAGCAAGCAGGAGGTAACTTCCTAAAGATGACTTTTTTTTTTTTTTTTTAAAGATTTATTTATTTATTTGAAAGGCAGAGTTAGAGAGAAAAGGAGAGACAGAAGTCTTCTATTTGCTGGTTCACTCCCCAAATGGCTGCAATGGCCAGGGCTGGGCCAAGCCAGAGCCAGGAGCCAAGAGCTTCTTCCAGGTCTCCCACGTGGGTACAGGGGCCCAAGCACTTGGGCCATTTTCCACTGCCTTCCTAGGCACAAGAGCAGGGAGCTGGATTGGAAGCAGAGCACTGGAACTCAAACTGGGTACCCATATGAGATGCTGGCACTGCAGGCTTCAGCTTTACCTGCTACGCCACAGCATTGGTCCCTATCAAGAAACTTTACAGGATGGAGCCATGTCCAAGTGTTTTGGGGCTGGCACTTTGGCACAGCGGGTTAACACCCTGACCTGCAGCGCCAGCATCCCATATGGGTGCCAGTTCTAGTCCCGGCTGCTGTGGCCTGGGAAAGCAGTAAAAGATGGCCCAAGTCCTTGGGCCCCTGCACCCATGTGGGAGACCTGGAAGAAGCTCCTGGATCCTGGCTTCAGATTGGTAGAGCTCCGCCCGTTGCGGCCATCTGGGGAGTGAACCATCGGATGGAAGACCTCTCTCTCTCTCTGCCTCTGCCTCTCCTCTCCTCTCTCTGTGTAACTCTGACTTTCAAATAAATAATCTTTTTTAAAAAAGAAATTAAGTGTTTTTTTCTTCTTAAGAAGCTTATAGCTAAGTTTTAGTCTCAATTTAGCTAACTTAGCTAACTTACCATAGGCTTTCTATCATTGTTAACAGTTCTGCTTTTTCTCTTTATAACTTTACACTTTCCCTTCCCATCTTTGGCAGTGTTGTTTGGTTTTTAACCTTTAATTAGTGTGTGGTTTTTGTTGTACCCAGGTGTTTTGTTTTGTTTTGTTTTTGTTTTTAAGATTTATTTATTTATTTGCAAGGCACAGTTCCAGAGAGAGATAGAAAGACACAGAGAGATCTTCCATCCACTGGTTCATTCCCCAAATGGTCACAATGGCCAGGGCTGGGCCAGACTGAAGCCAGGAGCAACAAGCTTCATCTAGGCTTCCCACATGGGTGCAGGGGCTTCTGCAGCTTTCCCAGGTACAAACAGGGAGCTGGACTGGAAGTAGAGCAGCCAGGACTCAAACTAGTGCCCATGTAGGATGCCAGTGCTGCGGGCAGTAGCTTAACCCACTACACTACAACACCGGTCTTATTGTGAGCCTTCTCAAATACACAAGTAATTTTTAAACAATTATCTTAGAAGAAGAGTGGTTGTTTTAGAGTTTTCTTGGGGAAAAAAGTGGGGGAGGCAGCATTGTGGCACAGCAGGTTAAGACACCACCTGTGATGCCAGAGTCACCTATGAGGGTTAGTTGGAGTCCCAGATGCTCCATTTCCAATCCAGCTCCCTGCTAATGCGCCTTGGAATGCAACAGAAGATGACCAAGTGCTTGAGTCCCTGTCATTCAGGTGGGAGACCTCAATGGAGTTCCAGGCTCCTGGCTTCTACCTGGCCCAACCCCTGCCACAGCAGAATGAACCAGCATATCAAAGATCTCTTGGTCTCTCCTCCCTGTAATTCTGCCTTTCAAATAAATCTTTTAAAAAAATTGTTCATAAAAAATAGTAACTGTATAAAATAAATTGGAAAATTGGACTTCATTGAAATTAGGAATTTCTCAGCCGGTGCCGCAGTTCACTAGGCTAATCCTCTGCCTGTGGCACCAGTACTCGGGGTTCTAGTCCCGATTGGGGCACCGTTTCTGTCCTGGTTGCTCCTCTTCCAGTCCAGCTCTCTGTGGTCTGGGGAGGCAGTGGAGGATGGCCCAAGTGCTTGGGCCCTGCACCTGCATGGGAGACCAGGAAGAAGCACCTGGCTCCTGGCTTCAGATTGGTACAGCGCGCCAGCCAGCCGTAGTGGCCATTTGAGGGGTGAACCAACGGAAAAAGGAAGACCTTTCTCTCTGTCTCTCTCTCTAACTCTGCCTATCAAAAAAAAAAAAAAAAAAGGAAATTAGGAATTTCTCTTCAAAAGACATCATTAACAAATTATATAGGCACTCTAACCATAGGGAGAAGATATTAATAGTGCTAATTCAGAATCTATCAGCTACATTGAAATATGTTGATGGGTAGCTTTTTTAATTTAAATTTTATACTTTGATAAATAGTAGTTAACTTTCACAAACATAGTGTCAGCTTATTTTGCTAATGACAAGATGAAAGGAAATAGCTGCCAGAGAACATGAAAGAAGTTGAACAGAGCATGCATGTCTCTTTGCCAGTGACTCAGACTTTGTACAGATTATTTCACCTTGGTATGTCACAGTTTCCACAGCTGTGAAATGCAGAGTAAAACAAGTAGTCCAGTTCTAAAATGGGTAAAAGATTTGAACAGTCCCTTCACAAAAGAAGAAATCCTTGCCATCAGGCATATGAGAAAATGTCAACACTCATTAGGGAAATAAATGCCAATGAAAATCATCACAAGATACCATTGCATATCCACCAGTTAGAATTTTTTTTAAAGATTTATTTATTTATTTGAGAGGCAGAGTTAGACTTACATGCGCTGGTTCACTCCCCAAATGTCCATAACCACCAGAGCTGCACTGATCCGAAGCCAGGAGCCATAGCAGAGAGCTGGATTAGAAGAGCAGCAGCCAGGACTTGAACCAGCACCCATGTGCAATGCTGGTGCTGCAGATAGCAGCTGTACCTGCTAGCCACAGCGCCAGGCCCACAATTTATTTTTCTGTTAGGAGCTGGCACTCCAATCTAGCTTTCTGCTACGGCCTGAGAAAGCAGTGGAAGATGGCCCAATTCCTTGGGCCTCTGCACCCTCGTGGGAGATCCAGAAGAAGCTTCTGGCTCCTGACTTCAGATTGGCCCAGCTCCGGCCATTTGAGGAGTGAACCAGCACATGGTTCTCTAACTCTGCCTCTCGGTAACTCTACCTTTTAAATAAAAATATATTTTATAGTGCAATGCCAGGAGTCTTAGTGTTTTTTTTTTTTTTTTTTTTTACTTTTCCTTTTTTAAAATTTTTAAGGTATGCAAACTTCATACATTTCGTAAATACAAATTTAGGAACACAGTCATTCATCCAACCCCACCCACACTCCCACCCTTCTTCTCCTCCTATCCCCATTCTTATTTTTTACTAAGATCTATTTTCAATTAACTTTATATACATATCATTAGTGCTATGCTAAGTAAAGAGTTCAACAAATAGTATGAAAAAAGAAAACTTCCTCAGCAGTTGAGACAAGGGCTGTTCAAAGTCAATGCATCTCAAGTTGTCAATTTTACTTCTATAGATTACCTCTTAGG